AAGCTCTTTTCGCCTACACAGTCGCACAACTGAAAGTTAAAAATCAAAGTGGAAAAATTAGTTATTCTATTAGTCAAGTGGTTTCATTCAGAAACAAACGTAGTCTTAAATTTTTTATTGAAATACTTGCTGCGCCAACGACGTCGTCCGCGAATAATAGTTCTATTGGGTATACAAATTTGTGTTTGCAAATTTCCTTCTCATCTATATAAATTATACCTTCAAAAATCGTCGTCCGCATCCCATGTCCTTGCAAGTTAGACCTTAAAAAATAGACGTATCCCTCAAAGATAAAAGATAATCTGTTTTCCACATTTCCCGCTATTTCTTCGCTCCTTTCGCTCGTGAAAATTATAGCTTAAAAAGCCTTCGTCGCTTAAAGGTCTATCCAACATAAAAAAAATAGGACCAGTAGTTTCTACCGATAAGCGCGTTGAAACAAACAAAGACAGGACTTCATCATCTTTATAATATAAGTATAGCTGACTAAATTATCCTACATTATTATATCTATTAAAGTATAGTTATAGTAGTATATATTCGCAAAAGATTCTAAACTAAAATCAGTCACCAATATCGTTTCCTGGGAGCCTATAAAGAAATAAGTATTTTCCATATGAAAATAAAATAAGTTTTTACTATTACATATAAAAAGGATATATATTTTTTAAGATTTAATAAGGACATATTTTTTTAAATTATTATTTAATTAACTTAAGGATTCTAAATAGTGTCTATAGTTTACGCGAGTAGTACACATTTAAATAAAACACTTTAACTTGTCTATCGTCGTAATAATTATTTAGAGATACGTTGTTTTTTCCGTAGTTTTGCTTTTCAAAACAAGTAGCGACATCTATTGTTATAATGTTAGAACTTCTTAGTTAATCAATAAAACTTTGTCTTTGGCGCTGAACAGCCACGACGACTACGTAGTTTATAATTTTGCCATTAGATGGCGCTGATATTATATTATAAATTCACATTTTTTCCTTTTAGCACATAAACAGATAATACTATGAACTAAAATACAGCTATATGTTACAATAGAAACTACTGTGTGAATAAAATTCCGGCAAACGTCATATTACGACGGAATTCGAACCTAAAACTACTAGTTTTATACAATAAGAACAGTGAATATTACATGTCTCAACCATAAGATACAATGTAAAGGAGATTACATACAATACATTAGAGAAATGATAGCGCAACAGTTATAATCGATTTGATAGTGGCTGAAACCAAATTTGAAAGGACTTCCGTTCTCCCCATTCGGATTGACGTACTATGATAGTGCGGTGAGGTAGTCTCAACAATTACAGCTCAAGTGGGCTGGTGTTGGCAGCCTGATAATTAGAAAGGGTGGAAGGGGTGCATGCATTATATAGCAATCGATGCTTGGTGTTGGATACTGATTGCTAGATGGGCTAGTGTCAGGTGGACAGGAAAAACTATGGAGATCTCGATATCACTTTAAATATAATTTTATTTTTGTTTAATAAGAATATTCCATTTAATTTATGTTAACTACCTTTACAACGGCCTATATTAGTTATTATTAAAAAACAACAAATTTCTTAAACGTAAAAGTTCGTCTCAAGCTGTCAATATTGATTATGCAACTGATGTCTCGTTTCGGCTGTTAAGCATTTTTTTATATTAATTTTGAATTTGAACAAAATCTAAATGTCTACTCTATGGATTTATTAATGCGGCTGTCGCGTCAATGTAGGGTGTTGGCCTTTAGGCGACCCATAATTTCTGTATTGAGCATTGTTGGCCCTACACATACGCTGCTGATCTACCTAGATACTATATCTAATTAAGTAGATCTTCTACTAGTAACATCACTACTCGTCTACTATTCCACAAGTGTATATTAAACCCTTATTTATTCTCAGTTATTCAAGTTACAGCTAATACTTATAATCTACTTTAACTACATAATAAACACCATAAAGCGTGTATTTTTTCTATTTCTCTATTTAATGTACTTTTTACCTTAATTTAATTCAACACGTGTAGATTGTAGATATATTAACTAGGCAAGTATCAAATCGGTCCGATCGCACTATCTATTAAGCACGCCTGAAAAAAAAGCGGAAAAGCTATCGTCAATGAAGTAGAGACAGTAACTTTATCGAAATCGATTCGACCGCAAGCTTCAGTCGCGCGACCTGTGTTTATAATAAATATTTGTTTTGAAATATCAAATTAAGTGTTTAACTGTCGGTGGAGGCTTTCATTTAAATAATTAATGATATGAAAACTGATATTAATTTCGCTAACAATACGACAAAGTGCAATAATTAATGTTTATCAAAATACATGGGGTAAATATAGCATTTTAATTAATTTAAAATGTAAATACAGAAAATGAAAAATCGATTACAGATTGAAAGAAATTTACGACACGGTTGCTCTAACCGATTTAGATTCCGTTTTGGTTAGAGCAACAGGACGTAAGGCTGTTGATGTCGGTTCAGGCCCTGCCCGTGTCGTATTTTTTTTCTTATCTAAAATCCCTTTATTATGGAGTATAATATAGTGCCATCATGTGCTGTGATAAATATTAATGTTTTCAAATGTGATATCTTAGATACTTCTACAAAAACAAAAAGCCATTGATCGTGGATTGATAACCCGATAGTATTTATTTGGCTGTGAAATCTGTTTCTACCACATAATATCTATTTGTTTCTAATTCTGAAACATGTTGGACTTCGTCTGGAAATCTGGATATTAAATGGATGGTAGGAATATCAAAATTCCGTCCGGGTCACGAATCACCGTCCACAGATAAAAAAGCCTGATGAGAAAATGAAGTTTAATCACATTTAAATAAAACACTTTAACGGTTTAAAACGCAATATATTAGTTAAACTTATTTGAAAATGATTTTTAACTTCGGCCTGACGTTTCGGATGCTTTGCAGCAGCCGTGGTCACGGGGAGTCTCCCCGTGACCACCGCTAACTCTACCCGCTACTCGCGTACACTATAGACAGTATTTAAGTTTAATCACGTTTTGATTTCAGTTTGTGAATTTCCAAATATCTGAAGCCAATAATATCCTTTTATAAATACATAGTTTCTCTCAACGTTAAACTGTAGAAAAATAATTCAGTATTAAACAATTTTCGTCTTTACTTTCCTGCTTATAGCTGTAACGTCAAAAGAAAAAGGTGAATGAAAGAAGCCTTCGAATGTGTTAAAGGCAGCAAAAAATAATAATGCCAGATTGGTTGGACGCGACCCTCTTCAGCTGTAAACACAGAAAATCGCTGTGAAGGTATGAAATGCGATAGATTCCCGCCATCTTTTCCAATTTCCAAGTGAGAGCGAACTGTTATCGTATGCGAATCGTATAAACTATAAATGATATATTAGACACTCCAATAACAAGACATTCTCATGAATGCAACCATTACAAACACGATAGGTTAACTTTCCATGTACACAAAACGGTTTGACATTAGTCTAATTAGTATTAAATATAGTATCGAATATCAATGTTACTGAAAATATATTTACTCAGACAACGTTTTATTCAAAAACGATATCGTGTTCAGAAAGACGAAATATTTAATAGCCATTGTGAATTTTAAAATTAAATTTTATGTTTAAAATGTGTCTAGTAACTAACTGAACATAAAAATAAAGTGAAAATCATTCAAAACTAAAATTGTAATATTAATTAGATACTGATTTTTTGTTAGTGCAACATATGCATAGAAACACTTTAAAATGTTTTATAGCTTATGTATCACAGCAGCATAGTGCGGGCTTTAAGCTTTCAACCATCCGAGTAGGTGCCAAGCCACAGTTTGACACCGACTACACTCTGTCTTGGTTTAAGCTGAATATGTTAACATTTTTATAAAAGCTCTCACCGTCACCCTACTATTTTGACATACGTGTCCTAAAATAACAAAGGCTGCGAGGCTTTTGTGGCTGGAATCCGGGTCACTGGTACCATCAGACATTAGACCCAGTTAGCCGGCTAATTAGAAAATGATTAAACCTTTGTGCGAACGATTTGATAACGAATTTCAAAGGTCTAACGTTAGATATTGAGAACGTTCAGCTCGTTTAATATGCACCAAGCCGCGTACAGATAAGATTTGCATTATAAATTAAAGTCTCTTATCAAAGCAATTAAGTAAAGCTTAATATTTGAAAACTTTAATATTTTTCATATTTTGCTCTATATGAGTTAAATATCTAAAATAAATGGAAAAAATTACGACTCGGGCAGGACTTGACAGGGCGGCATCCTCTGCGTTCCGTGCTCTAACCAATTGAATTCGGATCAAACCTAGATATGTTTTATCTATATTGTAGGACTCGGTAGTTCAATTGGTAGAGCAACAGCACGGAACGCTGAGGATGCCGGTTCAAGTCCTGCCCGAGGCGAAATTCGATTTTTAAACCTAAATATATTAATAACATAATAATTGAAAAGTAGTCATTAAATAACAATAATAAAACATTTATAATCTTAAAATGAAGTAATTAATTGTAATCCGTAATTCCGATAGAATCATTTAATTTATATTATTTAAATTTTTGTACAATAAAGAATTGATAAGCCAATAAATAATAGAAAGACAGACAATAGTTTCTATATCCAAATTTTTAGATTCCCATAAAAAAGCTACATTTTTGTGTTCGTTTTACGGGCGAGGAGATCAGTCTACTCGTCGATAACTTCTTTATCAGGAATTCGAACCTTTGACTTTTTTCTTTTAACGCGTGGGCACGTTTTAAATAAGTTATTGAGGCGATTGTTATATTATTCTATAGCTATCTTTCATAAAATGTGGTTTTCATTTAGCTTTAAAATTGAATATCATGGTCTAGAAGTAAAAGCGCAGTATGACTCAAATAGCAGGGCGATTAAAAAGCTTCATTCTAATGAAAATGGAGCACGATTCGATCGAAACGTATATACCGATAACGTATAATAGTCTGCAATCGTTTGCCTTTTCAGTAACAATGGGTTGTGGGTCATCAGGCCACGTGGTGGCACCAGCTCCTGCACAGGAAAACGGGCATAAGCCTTCGAATGGACATAATGACCAGAATAACCATAATGCTGCCCACGATAATGACTTGCCCACTATGGTCTTGCCAGATACACCAGCGAAGCCGAAACCGCGTAAGGAATTTCTTATTAGTAAAGTTACTTAGTAATTCATACGTGATGTTATTTAGTTCCCTTGTCCTTAAGGACCCAACTTGGGATACATTTTTATGTCCTTTGATTTATTTTATTTTCGAAATAGTCCGACAGTAGGGTGCACCCTAATGAAATATTCTAATTAAATTAAAAGCACATTTTTTTACTTCCGATATGGTTAGTTTATAATATCCCTACTAAAATCTAAACCGGACGAAGTTTTTACGTGGTAACTGAAAAAAAATTTAATACATAGGTATATTACAATTTATTGCAATCGAATATCGATATAAACATCTATAGTTTTGTATTCTTTTTCATTTTAAGGCACGTCTGAAGCCGTGTGTTACCTAGCAGTGCGCTAAGTGTTTTAGGTCCTAGTTTAGAATTCCAGGGTACAACATCTTGTTTCTGACGAGCAAGGCCTTTAAAGTCTAATCATCTTGCCTCTAAAAGAACCGATTAGTGAAAACGAACAAAGAAATGCTGTTGTACTACACACCTTACACTTTATATCTAGGAAATTTACTAGTTCGAAAAAAAAACAATAATTCATCTTTATCATAGAAAAATAATTTAGGAACTATTAGTATACATTACATATTATATATTTTTCCTTAGCGATCGCCTTCGAAATACCATTAGAGGAATTCGATAATAGCCATCGAGTGGCCACTCCACCAGCACACTTACAACGGTTGCTTCAGCCACCGAGCGTGGCTATAGGCCTGCCTGACATCGAAGGAAAGTTGGCTGAAGCCGAACAACGACGACAGGCGGTAAATATCCTTGTGTTATCGAATCGATTATAGCAGCAATAAAAGTTATGGGGAAGGAAAATTTGTCGAGGAACCTTACAGTTGATTGTAGGCTGGCGAGTATACACAGTTTAATATATATTTGAAGGTGTATATTAATCTACCTATACAATATAGCTCTACCTATACAATTTACCTCCTTACGCAGTCTTAGTAGTGAAGACTATTAGTAGTAAAAATTATAAGGCCTGGGGAAAGATGAAGTTACTCACGAAAGAATTTGGTCTACCAAAGTAAAGAGTTCTAGAGCCAAGTCTAGTAGCTAACGCGAGTAGTACACATTTAAATATAACAGTTTTAACAGTTCAAAACACATGACCTAGAGTTGATTTTAATATTAGGGACACCCTTCATTTTAAGTCCCTTTAGGCATGGCTGCTTCAAAGATCCGAAACGTATTTAAAATAAATTGTAAAGAAGTTAACTAATACAGCTCTACAGTCACTATGATAAAATTCAAATTAAATTTGATTTTAGATTATAAAAAAAAATTACGACACAAACAGTACTCAAACCGGCATCCACAGCGATAGTCTAACCAATCGCTACCGTGGCAATAACATGTGAAAAACATTAAAGTTTTCGTGACACAATAACCTTATGAATTCTAAGAATTAGTTTATAAGATGTACAATATATCTTTTCTACAAACAATAATTTTACATCACAAAAAACTTACAAAAATAAAACCAATAAATTTTTGTTGTTATTGCCTAAGGCGACGTTTCTCGAGTCCATACAACGGCGGATTCACCTTTGCAAATAAATCAATAGTCTTTTATGTTTTAGATTTTACAGCAACGCGCTGCATCGGCTCAAAAAAGATCGCAAAAACTGACAAAAAGTTTCCACGAAAACATTAAAAGTTTCGATAAAACTGACTACGTGAGTATATTTTCGGAAAAGTGGTTTTCATCGCATCGTCTTATTTTTTGTTCTACCGTCGCTTGCTCACTTTTGTTTTTCCCACCTTCTTTCAACAAATTGCTTATTAAATACTGTCTATAGTTTACGCGAGTAGTACACATTTAAATAAAACACTTTAACGATTTAAAACGCGATATATTAGTTAAACTTAACCCCCTGTGACCGCGGCTGCTGCAAAGCATCCGAAACGTCGGGCCGAAGTTAAAAATCATTTCCAAATTAGTTTAACAAATATATCGCGTTTTAAACCGTTAAAGTGTTTTATTTAAATTGCTTATTATCGTTTCTGGAAAGCTAATGACAGTGTTGCAGGTTTGATTTTGTTAGATTTTCGTTTGCACTGCTTTCTAAGAAGCTTTTACGTTTTCTTACTCGCGACCTGTATTAATTTATCTTTTGTTTTTAATTTATTTGTATGTAAATTCTCATTCTCACACATGAAACGAAATTGTACGTCTATTTTACATAGGGACATCTATTTTATAATGGGAACATCCCTGGCATGCCCAACCGAAACTATATATTGTGTTATCTATTTATGCATCTTTTCAATATTCTAATCATAACCTTTATCATAATTTAATTAAATACATTAACCCTTCTTCCTTCCCTTGTTTCAGAATCACGACGAAACTAGTCATAAAACACTAATCTTACCACCTGATCCAGGCTTAGAGGATAAATTCATTTAATTATTGAAAATTAAAACCAACACTTCGATGATATTGTTAAAATACAATGAATTATTATATTGTGAACTCCATTTTAATTTTATTAAGTGAGTTTTGCGAATTGAATCGGATTACACAGAACTAATTAACGAGATTGCGTGCAAAATATTACATAGCGGGCAATTGAAATAAATTGTACTGTTGTAGAGAAAAACGGGTCGTAATATTGTAACACTAGATGTAATTATAAGATGCACATTTTATAATCGTTTTTAACTTTTTTAATGTCTATGATATCTTAACTATCACTAAAAATAATAATTGATCAATAAATATTTCTTACCGAAATCTTTCTTTGAACTGATCGTTGTACCATTTATGTGATCGTTACATATACTAATTACATAAAAAAACATGCAATTACAAATAATAATTAGAGATGTTCTTGTCAGCTCACATATTTACATAGACACAAGCTCAGCCACCATCCAATGCATACTTTAAATTTGAGGCTATGAGATTAAATTTAGCTAAAAGTATAAATTACATCGACTAGACTAAAGTAATGAATTGTGTTACTACAATATAATGTGAAAATTTTATAGACAAGCTTCCGCATGTTCAAGGTGTTCAAAAATTACCTTAACCCCAATCCATCCCTAAAATTTTCCACCCTTATAATTCGATATATTCATAATCATTAATAATACACGTTTATAAATGATTTGAAATAGAAACATTCCGTGTCTCAGCGGTGATGAATTTTAAATCCGTCCAGCTTCGAAAAACAATTTACTTCTCAACGCTTATTTCCCTCAGGATATCCTGTGTGGAATTTATTTTGGCTGTATTTCAGCAATCAAAAGTAAAAAAAAGTTTTAGACTCACAAATAGTTGGTGAAGAGCTGAACTAAGTGTTTTTAACACTTTAAAAGCAATACTTACAAGTTTATTACATTTGAATTTTTAATTTATTTTGATACGAATTTCAAAAAATATGAAAAGAGAAAGACAATATAGGGTATTTGTTGACCTAAACATATATATAACATGGTTATATATAACCACCTGGTCCGAGGTTCGATATCAAATACGTCCGTTATTAAAAAAAAATATATAAAATTGATTATTTTAAGTGTGTCCAAATGTCAAAGAAAATAATAAAAAAACTGGCGCCTATCAGCTTTTTGAAAATTGAGCAATAATTCGCAAATATCTCAATTGCAATAACGTAACAATCAAATAATAAACAATATTTTATATCGCTATGAATAATTCAACTTTCGATCAAACACGAAAACGACCTCTGTGCCCACCAATGCGTGTGAAATATTCCACAATAGCATTCGAACATAACTAATGTCTATTAGTAACTAATAATTCTAAGACCTACATTGATTAACACGATTTGCATATTAATAATATACTATATTGCAACACCTTGCGCCTATTGTCTTAGTTTCAGTTAATTGAACTCCGATGTGCCAGAAAACGAAGTAATTAATAACTCAAATTAAGTACTTAATACGTAGATAATTCCCAACAATAGGTTTAAATAGAGTCAATATATTTTATCTTTTGTTTTCAAAACAAATCACACGAAAAGAAACACAAAACTATTTGCTACGATTTTATAAAAGTAAGTCCTCATTGTATTCTGGGATACTACAAATTTACAAAACAAAATACTTTATATAATATTAGGAGTCAGATATTGGTGGGTTTGGTGGTTCAACAATAACTTAATGTTAAGGTTCGATTTCTAATGTATCCAACGTGTTTTTTAAACAATTAAACAAAGGTGTTACTTTAACTTTTCATGTGTGGTAATATAATCGAAATTCTGACCGTTCAAAAAACCAACCGTCCTCAATGCTTAATCCTAATCTCAATTATTGCTTAGTCCTCTTTAAAATGTTTTTAGAAAAGAACACACTCGACAAAATTATAAATAAATACAACATAGCGCGTTAATATTAGCTACAAACGGTTACACGAATTAAAATTTATTTGACAAAGTAGGATTAAAACTACATATCAGACATATCTTTTATATTAAACCAATTTACAAGCACATGAATATATTCCATTTCATACTAGCTAAAAAACAAACAAACTTGGAAACTGCTGCTGAAAATTTTTCATTAAACGTGGGCACTGAAAAGAAAATAAAACATTTTCCTTAGTTGCTAAGCAATGTGATGGACAATATTATTACCCGTTTCCAACGTCAGAATACAGTATTACAGCACTAAATTAAATTAATGAAGGGATGGAGCCCAATTAAGGAATCGCCAAGGTCCAAAGGATATTCAACTGTTATACCGATGACGTAATGTGTTGCAACTGCACACACATATCCAATTCTGACGGATTTTCGGCAGGAAACAACTGGACTATATAAATGTTAGTTAATTCAGCTATCGACACACTTCGTCTGCTGAACTGAAGAAACATGAACTCCTACATCACAGTAAGTATTATTTCTTATATTGATTTGTCTCGTTAACATTTTGATTTATCTTATAATCTGATAAAAGGCCTACAATTTAATCTTAATTATTTTTCAGTATTGTTTCGTTGTACAAATAATACTCAACAGTAATAGTGTCTTAGTCTTCAAATGTTTCTTTAATCTCTGATGCTCTACATTGTTTACTAACATTAGTTTTACTAGACTAATTTTAAAGCTTCATTCATTCATTTGAAATAAGTTCAAAACCTCTTATGTAAAGGATTTTAATAAAATGCCACTGTTTTAACATATTATAAATCAATTAAAAATCTCTTAAGATTGAAAAAAAAAAAAATACGACACGGGCAAGAATTGAACCGTGCCGCTGCTCTATCGAATTGAGCTGCTGTGTCTTACAAATCATCGTCGAATTTTTTTAACCTATAGATACGTGCACCTCTTGTTAAAATCTGAATCTTGATTTTTAATTTATATAGTGCCATCCAGTGCACAACATGTGAAAAAGAAATGTTTTAAAATGTTATAAATCAAATAATCTAACCTAACGTCAATATTATAAAAAATATTTTCAAATGCTAATGATTTCTTTCAGTTCGCCTGCCTTTTGGCCGTAGCTGCGTCCGCGCACGCTTATGGCTACGGTGGATACTACGGTGGATATGGAGGATACAGTAAGTTCAAATTTTTTATGGAATATTATGTTTTTATAAGACTATTTTTCATAAGCTAATCTAGCAACGTTATGAGTTATGTAACGTAGACATTTAACGGTTTTTCTGGTTAAAATATTGTTTAATGATCGACGTAATTGAAGTTATTTCATTACATTAGACAATTGATTTGTTACATTACAAACGTGTTGCTGCATTTCAAGTCTTTTCGTATTACAAGTGATAATTGGATTGAACGCAATAAACTATTATTTGCATATGATTATCAAACATTACGATTTATTAATTGTACTTTGCGCTATTTTTCATTAATTTAATTATTTCTGAAGTAATTCTATTATTGCATTAGGACAAATGTGTTCAAGCCAAACTGGTTAAACCAATATTGACAGAATAAGACATAGATCTTTCAAATAACTTTTTCCAAGGGAACAATTTTGTATGTGTTCTTTTATTAGCCGACTAGCCTAGCCACTACGTCGTCCGCGTCCCGTTGTTCCTTCGAGTTAATCATAAAAGATTGACGCGGACATTTTTTTAGGTCATTAATAGAGGAATCAATCATAGTTCTTGGTTCCTTGAACTATCATCGCATCGGGGAACGGTTAATAGCATTCCTCAATAAATGATCTGATCAATACAAAAATTTCCAACCGGCGAACAATTCGAACCGGTAGCTCCTGAGATTAGCGCGTTCAAACGAACAAACTATTCAGCTAGTACAGATTAAATTTTGACGTTTTATATCTGAGGTATTTTACCTATCTAATAAGATTTAACGATTTCCAGAGCTGGCAGCCCCAATCATCACCGCTCCGATAATCACTGCACCAGCTTACTCTACCGCGAACTTGTACAAGGCCGCTCCAATTCCCGTAATTAGGACGTCGTACGTTGCCGCCCCTGTCACTGTTCCCGTCGTTAAGACCGTCGCAGTAGCAGCTCCAGTCACTTACACCGTCAGCTCATACGGCGGCTACGGTTACGGCGCCGGTTACGGATACGGAGCTGGCTACGGAGCCGGCTACGGATACGGCTACGGCAAATACCACTAAACCAGTCAGACGAAGTTTTACTGACTTTCTTCTTGGTCGATGCACTAAATAAAGCATTCATTCTTTCATATTCTTTTTATTGTTATTGCCTTTTCACATATATAGACATAAACAAAGAGAAACTTTAAAATCTTTTTGTTAAAAATATTGAGAAATTTAAATATATTCTGTTGTTGGCAAAATAATATATTTAAATAAATTTCTCTTGACTAAAGTAAAGTTCACATACAAGTGGTAACACTTATAGTGATAATAGTTTTTTGTTAATACATATAAAAGTTAATAACGTAACCAAATTAAATCCATTTTTATAAAATATACCTCATACGTTGTCCAAAGTAGGTAAATAACTTGAAACAAGCTTCTGGAAACACAATAACAGTTGTCTTACACTTATTCATTATTTCTCCACCCTTTTCTGACAATATTATCATATTGATTCAAAAATGTCATAATTCTAATCTAATAAAAACTTGTATGAAAATCTAATAATTATATGAAATTCCTTATCCAATGAATTGATTTCGACAAATTCCTTGATATGAGAATGTAATATATTCCAGGAAATCCATAGAAATCCCTTTCACGCCCTTGAAACTATGAGCTCCAGTTCAGTAAAACTCAATTCCGAAATTCAGTTAGTGCTGTGAGACGACGCGGAAAAGTTGTAAGTTAGTTACGAGTTTCCCTTATTGCTTGGTGTACTCGAATAGTCATAGTAAATTAAGGTATGAGTGTCGTCATAGAGCGAATGTAAATTATATCTATCATAATAGATAGTATGGTTCGTGAATAGACAGACTTTAAGTAAATCAGTTTTAATGGTTTTACACGCATAATATATTATTAACTTGACCCCTGCGTGCGTGACAGCTTTTGCAAAGTACATGTGTACAGGAAATGTCGTGTATTTTGCAAAAGCTGTTAAAATATTTTTAAGTCTTAAAAATATTTTGTTACCTGACATATTTCGTGTTTTAAACTATAAAAGTGTACTTAAAATATTTGCATCTGTAATGATTATTGATTTACTTATTTATAACACTTGCGTATGCATGGATAAGCTAATAGGAAAAAAGGTTTTTTTTTTTTAATTGCAAACTATATATTAATAATACAAATTTATAAACAAGAGCAATTTAAGCAAAATGTTTGTCTCCTAATCCGTCACATTTGCGGGCATATAGAATAGATATATTATAGTGTAGCTTAAAAAACATAAATAATGTTTGTACTACGAACAAACGAATCGGTAGACGGTCAAGTAGTACAACTAAAAATAAATTAAACACACTCACTGTAGCAAAAAACAATTTTGAGTGTTGCATATTTAGTAACATTCAGAAGTACTAGTTCTATTGTGGCCTGACTCATTATTTCATATTGTATTAAGGTTAACTTTCTTATAATATTTTAAATTTTAAGATGCAATTGTCAAGAACAATCTAATAATAATTAGTCACGGTAGAGTCACATTGCAGATGTATAGCAATAATTAATGTCCCATAATGTCTTTAGTAAGTTCTATTACGTACTCTAAGCGCATCAGGTGTAGATACTAAATGCTGTCTCACTCCTAAATGGAATTACTGGCGTCGATGTTCTGCCACAGATAAGTAAAATAGATGTAGCATAATGAAAATTGTATCCTATAATTTATAGCCTATATATGTATAGTCTATATTTATAACTATAGATAAATAACGTCTTTGTATTAAGTTTGCAGTGTCTATAAAAAAAAACTTTTTGCATTTCGGGAAAGGAGGTTGTTTATATAGAAAATGTTGTTTATGTAACTTGCTTCTTGTTTAATTGTTTGAGTTGTTTTCTGTTAATATTATTATTATTTCTGTCAAAACTTATTATTTTATGTTAAAGACCGTTCAAAAATATTTTCAAAATAATATAAAACAATATTTCATATAAAATTTACTATTTACTTAACTTTGTTTTAGCTCTCAAATTTTTTTTTTCAACGTTGTCGCACCTGCCTAGTAAACAGTCTTTTATAAGACTGGCTGGAAGGAAGTTTCTCGTTGGAATAATTAAAAAGTAATTAAACCTAGACAGCATCGATTCCGTCGAAACAAAATTTGATTTAAGAATTATGTAACGAAAATTTTTAAAAAGTAACTAGAAACACTTTCAAATAAAAAGTTATTTATTATTTAATCACAAAGACTGGATACAAAAAAAAATATTGTTGCGTGTCTTCTTGAATCTTCTAGTAAGTAATATTAAGTTAAAAGAACTAATTACCCATTCATAAATGAGACAGGCTTATAAGTATGTTAGTATGTATATACACTTCTCTTTGGTTTCGCAAAAAAAAAGTTTGACAAGTCCATATAAATTTATCTTTGTTGTTTGTTTGCGAATATTTCCATTCCCGTCGTCACATCTAAAACGTAAAAGTTTATCCACTTAAGTGTAATGTCCCGTTCACACATTCGCATAAAGTACTGTAATCGCACTTTTAATATTAATTAGCTATTTAACGAAGTTAGCAAGTCCGGATGTCAGTGAGGGGAATTCTAAACTTAGTTTAACTCGCATCTTAGTGGAGACATACTTAATTATTTACTAGAAGTGTTTGCTAGAGGCTATTACTCTTACCTATAAATTAAATTTATGCTTATACACATGTTATGTTTCCGAACCAGATTTTTCTAATAAATTTATAATTTTTCGAAAACATGTTGGAATTTGTTTGGATATAAAATCGGTGGAAGGAATATCGAGATTCCGCCAGAGTCTCGAACCGCAATCCACAGATGAAAATGGCGTGAATTTTAATCGCATTTCGCTTTCAGTTTGCGCATTTCCGAATATCCAAATTCAAAATCCGACAACACAACGTGTATAGTTATATGTCCACCTACCATCAAGTTAAACCTGTGTTTATTATATTATAAAAAATCTCATCGACATTATCTTTTATGCTTTATGTAGTTGCTCGAACTATAGTGTATTATGACCCAAGACGTTCCTCTGTGGATGGCAATAGTTCGCAACTAGCAGGTAGAGCTCACATAAATATCTTGGCCCATTAGATTTATCGCCCGAACTAAGCTAACTTTTAACAAGAACCAGGACTGGGTATAATGAGTTTCTCCGAGCTCGGTGTTTCAAACTAAAATAAATGATTATGAAGTAATTGGATAAGACAATGAGAAATTTATGCCTAGAACGAATGCATGTTTGTTTATAGTTTAGTATCGTATTTTTATCGGGTCTTGCAAAAAATCAATACGTGTTAAAATAAAAAAAATATTTTTCTTTAACACGATTGCAGATAATTATAATAAATTATTTTAATCGTAAAACTTATTTAATATTCATGTGATGTAAGAGTATACTTAATAACGTAAATCATATTGTGTTATAGGTAGAGTAATAAAGCATTTTTTCATTGATTTTGTTTACTTTCAAAAGATGAACGAAAAATCAGGGAAATCTATGTGATTTCCGGTTTTATGTCTTAAACTTCGTTATAGTAAATTGCAGTTTGCTTAATTTCATTGAGTTAGTAGATAAAACTCTTCATTAAGATTTATTACTTGGAACTTGACAAATGTACTTTGACTACGGACACTCCCTTAGAAAAGAACACTGTTTAGTTCAATTTTTATTGTCTTTAGTTATACAAAAACATGGAATAATCTTTAATTTAAAATAACTTACAAAAACCACATTTATTTATTGATAAATACACTTGAGTCTAAACTTGTACATCAATAATAATAAAACTATTTTAATACATTTATTTATAGGTTAGACTTGATACATTTCGTCTTTTATTTTATACTTACAGTTTTACCTTTTATTTAATTTCGTATAATATCGCAATAACTCTAAATACAATTCAATAGTTGAACGGAAAGCACGTGCATGCGTGAGTTTTTGTTCCTAAAAGGTATGCCAAGTAAAAGAAACATACAGAACGCTTTAGTTATCACGATATTATATTCTTATAATCTATTAAAAAATTATAATTTTTGCAATATAAGTCGAGGTTATTTTAATTTTTATTAAGTTGTTTCTGACAATAATTCATTGCATAAGATATTTTTAATGTTTTAACTATAAAACGGGTAAATCTTATTTTGATATATTTTTATATTGCGACGAAATAAAAAATAGCAAAACACAAAAAATACAGATTGTCCTCTAAAAATAAGTGCGCATACTAATTCCACAAGTCACTGTTTTAAACACTACAATTACACAACATTTATTAATAAGAGAATTAAATATTATTTCAGTTCGTTTTATCCCTTGTTTTTTTATTTTATATTTTTACTATAACATTTAAAAAATACGATAAAATTATTTTACAGAATACAAAATCGTTAACTAGTGCAGTATTTGCAAATATTTGAGGCAAAATACCTCATTTGCTTAATAAGTATCTAGATTTCTTTATAAATGTGACAAAATCAATGAGTATTATATTTTTTTTATTCCAAGTAATAAGTATGTCGTTAATAATTTGTGTACATTCTTATAACAACAATAAAAATGATTACTTAGAATGTTCTTAGGAAGGTGTAGTAACATTATTACGGGTTGAGCTTTGATTAATATTAAAGTATCTATCTAGTCTTTCACTGATAAGCGGAAATATTTCTACATCACAATATACGAAAAATTTTACAGATGTAAATAATAAGGATCGTAAAACTTTACCGACAATGCTTACAGAAATAAGGAATCAATTTGGCACCAAATTAGTAAGGTTTATGAAAACAGTGATAACAAGTTTCTTATTATAAGGTTATCAAAACTAAGAACTTCGTAAATCAAGAATATTATTTGAAACTGTAAATTATTCGTTTTGACAAAGCGAATAGAAACGGTCGTCTAAAGCTCAGTTGGTTTGGCGTTCGAGTCCTGTCCGTGTGATTGACTATTTATTTTTTTCCAAAAACAGATTATCCTTTTCTGTTTGAGAAACGTCCACGATTCTCCGAAGATGTATCTCATTACTACCACTAGCATCTTAAACATGTGCCGCTTATTGTATGTAAAGATACTATTGCTTTCGTAATTCGTGATCCACATATCTTAATATATCCTCTGACAGTAGTCCTATACGTTTAACAGGAATGAATTGTCGAAGTTATTTAGTATCTACACGACATCTAAAATGTCTTTCTAAATTACACATAGGGACGTACACGAAAATACTAAAGTTTACTGTGCGCATTGTCAATAATTTATTTTGAAGAATTTGATTTATGGTGAGTCAAACGAAGAAAGATTACAAACATCCATGACGGATTCAAAACATTATATCTGTTTGGAAATAACGCTAAAAGAATTAGAGCTTCGTTGATAAAATGGAGAGAAAATATGTATACTCTAACACAGTATAGATAAGCGCTTGATATATCTTAAAAGTAGGATTAGATATTTTTTGAGCACAATTAGAATTTTGTAATAACTTTCTTGTTAACATAGTCTACGGGAAAATGCATTGATTATCTATTACTATCATATATTATAATGACACATAGTTAATAGAAAAAATATTAAAATGTGATAACTTTATATATATTTATTTTAAAATGTCATAACAAAGGAACGTCGTACGACATAATGCGAAGTGCATTATATTTTACATAATTACAATAGTAAACATGTTCTGTAAACTTTATATTAAATCGATATAGCTATGATGTAATGAATTATGTTTTAATATATTTACAAAAATGTTACGCCTACTCTTATCATTCACGGTCGCATATTTAGAATTCATGTTGCCTTAACCGGTCGACATATAAATATGAAGAGCCAAAAATATTTCACAAAAAGTATACACCCCCATTGAACATGAGCGCTCAATGAAAATTAACAATTCCGGGGAGTACAAGCAGAAAGGCAATAGTTTTTTTTGCTTAATCAAAGCCTAAAGAAAAATTCGGAAAAACAAAATAGGTAAATGTTACACCAACACTTTGGCATCTCCTCTTATTCGTTCATAGCGTTGTCTATATACATAAAACAATATGGCACTACCTTGATTTCGTTTTAAAGTTTCGTTTCTATATCTATATTAGAGAGATTGTTTATTGATACATACATCGTTGTATAAGAGTCAAGATGACATATATCTTCACACATATACGCAATTACTCACACCAATATTGCTTATATTTAGTATATATCTCTAGAAAATTGGAAAAAACAAAACATAGCGTCGAAAGGCTGTTTATTCTCTCTTAATTTTAATACTTACACTTTGGCATTTGTACACACTACACATTGGCACATCGGTTGATTAACGTTAGAAATTAATTATTTTCCAACTGTTTTAGCTGTAGTTAACCTATGTATTTGAAATGCGTGGAATTGGCATGATCAGGTACTTAAAAAATAAACTAGACTCCCGAATAATTACAAAAGTCACGATATAACCGGCTCCTAAATTCGTCAACATTTATCCTAAAAGCTCACACAGTACCGAGACACCTTTAAAATATTCGACTAGAAATGAAGAGACTAGATTTTAAAACTTACCTATTACAATATTGTATTTATATTATCTAACTATTAAAGAATTTGATTTTCGCCAATTACTCCCGACTTTCCACAATCCATCTTCTTACAACAGAAGAATTCACGAAGTTTTTAAATTAACTTTAAGAATATATCAAACAAATTGCTTATGGACGGGACGTTAAACTCACTAACAAAATTAGGATAAAATATTGGTACTTCAATAATGTCTTGCAATAATAGATACTTCTCACTTAAAATAACCCGTCAAATCTTTATTTGTCCTTATAAGGTATCAAGATTGGGCAATCAAAATCTTGATACCAGAAACTGGAAGTTACTGATCTGTTTTAATTATACACTCCTCTAGTCATGGCTTCTCTATTCCTATTATGCCACTTGCAAGTCAAAATCCTAACGTATGTTCTTCTAAACGTCGCATTACATAGCGCATAACATACGGGATTGATAGTAGAGTTAATATAACACAGAGCGTAGAAGAAGGACCATAGTTCGTCGGGAATGCACTTGGCACATGCAGTCAACGGTTTTAATAACACAAGTATATTATAAGGTGTCCACGTTATGATGAACGAGAGGAGAATAGCCGACAAAGTCTTCGCCGCTTTCGTCTCTTGTTTCTTCTCTTGCGTTTTCTTCTTCTTCGGTTGTTTCGTTGTTATACCTTTACCCGCCAGTTGTTTCGGTATAATTTTGGCATTGAGCGGTATTCTTACATCTTGCACGTGCGATGTTCTTCTAGAGAGACCGGCGTGGCCACCTGGATGTAGATTCAATTCGGAATCTCCTCTGGCGGGCGGTCGATAGACTCTCGCGTTTGTGGGCGGTGATTCCTCTGTTATCATTTTTATGCTAGGTCTTTCTGTGTCTGCATCTGGTAATCTGATTACAATAGTGTAGACCGAGTCAGCTGATGCAGATTTTGGAGCTGGTGAGGTAGCTGTATTGATTCTAGTGTTGGGTGGAAGGGATCGACTATCCCTGGCAGTTGGAATTGCTGGTGGTTCGAAGTTTCGTCTGAGTGGCGAAGTGCCACCATCAGGATTAGAACCCCCAGACCCGCCTCGGCCAGCAAAAGGGTCTCTGATTACGTTCAATGATGTACATCTGTAAAAAGGCAAGTGTTAAATTTGGTTCAATACGCTATTATCCGCTCACTTAACACTAAAATTAAATTGGACTAGTGGACTACTAGTCCACATTGCGCCTCCGCGCAAATTGAATGTGTTGCCGACTAGTTCACATCGCACCGCCGCGCAATAGCTCGTGTCACTCTGTCGTTGACATGGCCCCCCGCGCTCATATTAGTCGAATATGTAGTATATTCGACTTATTTGAGCTTATTTACTACGTCTATACCGCTCTCCACGTGTTTTGTATATTTTATCTCGATTCTCCGTTAAATTTCCCGCCATATTCAACCCATTCGAGTATCCAAACCATAGAAAATAGCTATGTAATAATAAAATAACGGTCCTCAGTCAGTGTTGACGTGTTGTCAGTGGTTAGTGTTGTGATTTTTGTTTAATTGAATGTATGTGATTAAAAGATTACATTGTGCAACTGTGATACCTGTATGTAGAACAATAAAATCAGAAAAACTAGGCGATTTTAATGAGAGCACCCATGCTCTTAATAAATCGCCTATTTCAGTTCAGTTTCTGCAACAGTTTGGGAACTGTTGCAGTTCATATTTGTGTTGTTCATGTTCATATTTCTCAGAAGTGGTGAATGCTATTTTTATGATTCTTGCTTGTTTTAAAAGAATATAACACACTTAACTTAGTGTTACTTCTATTCTAAGACTAAAAGCTATATATGTATGCCGTGTCAAATTACGCCGCGCGGCGCCAGATAACGGTATGGCATCAATTCTCTCATAAAAAAAAAATCAAATTTAATTTATCTAGGTTAACATTTATATATTTTTCTACATAAATAGAATATCTATCGATAACACCAAAGGGCCAGCGATTAATATCTTACGTAAGCAGGTGTTCTATATGCATCAATAGACACAGAAAATATAAAATATTTTTATAATAGGGGGACAATTTTAAATGGAGGAGGAGAAAAACGTCTTTCGTGGTTCATTATTTAAACGTGTAGCCTAGTATTGCGCTAAACGCGACATTTTCTATGATTAAAACTCTGAGAAACAAACAATTGTCTTGCTCGGGCTGGTAACAAAACTCTGGTAGTCTGGTACTCTGTAGCACAGCAATCGAAGACACTGTGCTAGGCATCACTTGTTGCTGTATTAATATTACCTCGAAACAGTGCTCTGCAGAGGAGTCTCAACGGAAACTGGAGTAGCGTATCCCAGGTCTGAAGGCTCCTCTTCAGGTTCTGTGTCTTCAAGGTCTTCTCTGCCAGAATGCCACCACGCGACACACCAGCTCCTAACAGCCGCCCAGCCTCGAAGACGGTTCTGACACTTTCCGCCCTGTATGAATAATTGGCAAAATTTAAACTTATGTCAAAACATAGTAAATACAATATATTAAAAAGATATTATATATACGAATATTACACTAGCGGCCCTGTCCCGGCTTCGCACGGGTAGACATAAATAGGTAGAGATATTTAAATTATAAGCATGCTAATTAAAACGACCATGAATCACTAAATTAGAAAAAAAATGTATTGCGCGTCCTAATTGTTAACAACCTACGAGCGTTCAGTGTACGCGTCCGCGAATTCCTAGCTCTATTTCCTTCAAGTCGCTGCGACGATCTTGCATTTTGTTCTGCAAGACAAAACTGAACAATCGACGATAGATTCTCTGGCTCGCGATTGGGACGCGTACAATTTAACACTTTCCAGACGATCATTTTAGGAAGAACACTCTCCAATACGACGAACTTTTGCTAATCTCGTTTGGGAACTATTCTTAGATAGCTGCGACCTTCTTCTTCTAGGCATATTACTATGAAGGATGTTTATTTTAAATCAGAGAAATTAAGAATAAACGAATAATAATACAAAAGAAAATATTCAAGTTCAAAGCGATAGTTCTGAAAAGAACTTTGACAAATATTATGCAAAGTGTGATTCCTAATACTAAAAGTAAGTAGCTCTGAAAATAACTTTTTAAGTGAAGCATAAAGATGTTAAAAAAAAACTCGAAATATTCAATTTCGTTCGTGCCCATTGCGTAAGGAGCCCACTCCTCCTCTATTTTCAGGTATTGAGACAGTCTTCAATTTTAAATTATTTATTTGGATAAATATTTATAAATGGTATGGGTAACACGGTCTGATTTTGATCGGCATTTCTAATTCTAATTTGTTAAATGTAAACAAGTAGTTATAGCGACGTAACTACAATAGTTAGTCATATGCTCTCTTGTTTTTTGTAGATATTGATCAACATTTAAATCGAAAAAAAATTGAAAAAATTTTCGACTCGGGCAGAAACCGCGTCGCTTTCCGTGCTGTTCCTCCATCCTCCTACACCTCATCGTCGAATTTTTCAACTTATTGTACATGCACCCTCCCTGTAATTTCTACCTTAACACTTGTATTAAGGCTCAATGTCTTTCTTTGCAGCTAAGAAATCATTGAAGATAAATTACAAAGTTATAACGTTTGAAAACATTAATATTTTTCACATGTTATTGCACATGAAGGCACTATATAATTTAAAAATCGAAAATAAATTGAAAAAATTTTTTTCGATTTTTAAATGCCGATGCCGGTTCAAGTCCTGCCCGAGTGAAAATTTTCTCAATTTATTTTCCGATTTTTAAATTATATAGTGCCTTCATGTGCAATAACATGTGAAAAATATTAATGTTTTCAAATATTCTATAACATTGTTGAACATTTTTTTTATCCTATCATTAATACTTTTCGCAGCGTATGCGAAGAAAGACATTTTACGGCTAATTTTTTTACGCCTTCCGTTGGTTTTAGTAAGAATTTCTATAGACGCCTATAGTAATCTAGTACTTAATATAGCCTATGTTACTCAGAGATAATGTAGCTTTCTAATGAAAAAAGAAATATTAAAATCGGTTCAGTACTTTTTGAGTTTATCCGTTACATACAAAAATACATATCTTTCCTCTTTATAATATTAGTATAGATTATTTTGGGAAGCAATATACTCGCTCTTCCTAACGAAGTCGTAATTAATTCAAACAAAAAGACTCTTTGGTTATATGCTATAAATTCTCTAAAAATACTAACAACTGTTTAAGTTTACGCAAATAGTACAAATTTAAATAAAACACTTTAACGGTTTACAACGCGATATATATTAATTACACTTATTTAGTCTCCCGGTAACGACGGCTACTGCAAAGCATCCGAAATGTCGGGCCGTAATTAAAAATATGTTTTAAATAAGCTTAACTAATATACGTCGTGTTTTAAACCGTTAAAGTGTTTTATTGAAACCAAGTACTGTGAGTAATACCACGCGGCGGATATTTCTTTTATTTTACCATATTAAATAGAAACAATGTTTTGACCACCATCGCTTTAACCATAAGAAGATAAACCCAAAGGCTATGTAAGAACTTAAAAGGGTTTGCTCTTGTCACCTGTATAAATTGGCAATCAGATAACTTAGCGTGTCGTTGCCAACTGTGCTGCTAACCCGAAACGGTTATTTGCCAAGCTCGGGGTTACCGTTACAATGATTGGAAGAAAGCCAAATCGATACGTTTCAAAGATAATACAATTTTTACATTAGACAACTCGAACCAGTAATTACGACAATTCGTTGGTATTTTAATTTGGCTACATGTGTTCAACCTTTCGTCAAAATGAAAAAAAAATCTATGATTGCAAATAGAGTGAGGAAACAAGCATCCATCTACTCACTGAATGCTCCACGTACTCAAAACTAAGGCAAACACATGTGGGAACTGATAAATTCATTGGAGGTTATATCAAAGAATTAAAGGTGGAATAAATAATACGATTTTTTAAGCAAGTGAGACTTGGATAACCCAAAGACGTAAAATGTAGATAACATGTTCTAAATTAAGGAGCATTGTAAAAAAAAAACAAGTATTAACACGGGAAATAATAAACTTTTTTTTTTTTCAACCACGAACCGTTTCATAGCTTCAGCTGCGGTTGGTTGAACCGGTAGCGACATTGTTACAGACGTTGAACCGTGTTGTAAGTAACGTGTACAATTAGAGCAATCTTCAGGCATGAATATGTATAAATATATAAATAGTAATAAACCCCAAAAATATTCAAGTACCACGTTTCTTTTTTTTAACATTAAGCAAAGTTAGTGAATATATTGTAGAAGTGAAATGCATGTTTGAAAACATTTATATTTTTCACATGTTATTGCACATGAAGGCACTATATAATTTAAAAATCGAAAATAAATTGAAAAAATTTTCGACTCGGGCAGGACATGAACCGGCATCGTCAGCTTTCCGTCAGCCATCAGAGCAATAGCTGGAAAACGTTATAATCATAATCTTAATCTTTATCGATATCGAGATATTTAACTGAATTAAATTAAATTTTAGTAGTTTTTTACATGTCCCGTGTGTGTGTCAATTTAGACTGTCGCTTCGTGTCGTGTCGGTTCGGTTAGGTCGGGAGTTGAATTAATTGTAAATAAGTTACCTGATCTTTTTCGAGTTTTAGACCCTTCAAGGTGTTTTATTTAAATGTGTTCCACTCACGTAAAATCGAGAGTCACAGTGTCTTTTGACACGTTGGATTTATAAAATTAGATTGATGTAAAATTCTAAAATATATTCGTTGCATGGCGGACTAGTACGGACGGAATATAAATCATATCTATGAAAATACTTTCCACCAAGAAAATGCTTGTAGTCGTTAAACGAGATATGGCGACAAAATCGAGGCAGCACTGCTCGCAGACGATAAGCCTTGATAGCCGAGTGATGGTCGAGGTGAGAACGTTCCTTAACGACGTTGCTGTGGCTCCTTTATGGCCATTTCAAAAGATATTGATATTGAAAAATATTCCGGACATTTCGTGTGGTCATACTACCAGTACCTACGTACTGCAACCGGAATCCGTTTATTCATAATCATCAGAATCAATAATTCATTTTTTTTTTTTTTATATTGTGGATTAGACTCTTTCGTTTTTTTTTCCTAAGGAGCCACGAATAGAACCGGAAGTTTTGGGCGAGTGAGATAGCGCTCGCCGTGTTTGCGGGCTAGACCAAGGGTGCCCCGAGGGGGGTTTTTTAATATAGAGGAGGACAGCAAAGTATGAGATTCACTCGGTAGGTGAAATACAGCCATATAACATCTTCACAAGATGCGCCGTCGATCTATTATGGATACTGGATTTTCTTTTAATGGTTTAAAAAACAAATATTTTTGAGTCACCTTATTGTTAATTTATTTTAACTACGATTTAATGTTTCGGATGATATGCATGCGTTGATCTTATATTTGGCGTTTTAATCCGTTTATTTTTTTTGTTTTATACACACTCAATACTTTGGGCGTAAAATTAATACAATTGAAGCGCATTATTCAGCCAATAAATAATTTACATAATATAAACATACTTGTGTGTTAATTAAAATACGTATATACGATCTTTTTTGTTGATAATTCATAATATAATAATAAAACTCTCTTAAAATCTTAAATATAATGGTTTACTTAGTTTTAACTACGTCTTACGTCATAAGGGTACCTATTTATTTCTCGAATTTTAAACCGTTAAAAATGTGTTTCATTGAAATGTATATTAGTCGCGTAAAGCACTAAGAATGCTTAATTCATTATGTATTTGTGAACTTCTCAAAAAATATACAGGATGTAATTAGAACAGTTCTAAAAAGCATTGAGGGCATATTATAGGGGCTAAAAGGTGTCATACGATGCTATTTATTTTAATTTTTTACCAGATTTTTTCAAAGTTTTAAAAAATAGTATAAAATGTACAGCTACGGTTAATGGACGCATTACCCGTAGCTTCTCCTCCTCTGACGAGAGGCGTTGAGAATTTACCGGAGTAGGTATCCTCACGCTTGCCACCCCTTCGGACTCCCGCATGATTACGTAAGCATATCAGTGGGTGCTGGAGAATAGGCTTATTGCACCTTCCGCCTCTGGCGGTGGCCGGCAGCTGAGCGTGCTTGTTGGATGTGCTACGCCGGGAACCTCGTCTTGGAACTCGCAGTGTGGCTAAAAGGCTATGACTTCGCCACGGAAGGCCAGTAGTTTGGCATTCTAAAGTACATGCAATTTTATAGCGGAAGAGAATGCGTCCGTATAAAATACATCGTGTACAGGCCTTGCTTCCCGTTGATCGGGTTACGCGAACAGTGTCGTGAGGTTCCCACTTTTACGTCTCGTATTCATCAAGAAACAAAAAGACGTGGAGAGCTATGCATCGAGATGCAAGGCGCGCAATTTGAGCCACATCTTATACGAGCACACAGAAACTAAAGGTCAGTTAGTCTAGTTATGTAGTTTTTAATAGAGTTTTTGTGTCATTTATTCTAGCATTACTACTATACGTTACGCTTAACATTTAATAATCAACGCTATTTCTTTCATTACATAAAATGAAACCTAAAATGATCAGCTGGTCTATTAGAAAAATAGAGTTCCGTATTTCGGGCGGGCGGGTAAGTGTGCCGTGGCTGTATGCTGTACATTTCATACTCGGATTTTAAACTTTAACAAAAAACCTCGATATAAATGAAAATAATTAGAACCATATAATACCTCTTAACCCCTAATATATGCTTACAACAGTTTTCAGGACTGTTTCAATTACACCCTGTATATTAATAATGATGTCATTAACTTCGGAAGTTTCCCGACATTTATTGACTATCAAAAAAAAAAAAATATTGCCGCATTTAATATGTTTATCATTTGTTTATAACATATTATCTTTATCTCTATCATAGATAATCTGTAACGAATGCCCTTGAGAACATATGTTATATGAAACTCGTAAGCAAATTTCCTGCAATGTACCAAGTTAAGCGAAGTCCGCCCAGTCAGAAGCCTTGTCAAAGTTTGCTCTAACTTACAAATTGCAAGTCGAAGCTGTTCCATATTGTTTCATTTAAGTAAACAGTTCCGTGATACAAGTGTAGCGGATATTTTAAAGTAAAATCACGATTCGGGATTGCGGACGAGTTGACTCTGCGACTTATAAGACGAAAAATTTATAACTTTTGGAAAAAGGCACTAGATATATGATATACTAATATTAGCTACTTACTGAAGCAGATTGTTTGTAAGTAGTGATACATAAATACTCATTGAAATAAAATTATGTTTGTTTAGATGGATTATCGAAGAAGAGTTTTGGCTTATAACATTTGCTGCGATTATAGGTGCGAGGAAAGAGTGGAAAATATGGAAAAAAAGAGCGAAATTTTTTAACTTTGACGTTTTTCGTTGTGTGCTCTGCAAAAACGGCTACAAAAAGTGTACAAGATAATTATATCTCTTTACTAACATATCTTAATATCGATATATGATTGTTTGTTTATTATTTATTTAAGCATTTTTATAGTGAGCTTATAGTTTTACAACAAGCTAATATAAACGTTGGTGTAATCTCTTCATCATAATTTTACCTGGTAATCCCTCCACCGTGGATCCAAGGCGCCTCTGACGTGATACACTGAGTCTGCATCACCAGACTCCGAACGTGCGCGTGCGTCGATCTCCCGCGTTTCATCACTGTACAGAAAATAATATATAAATCCACTCAAACATACGTATGATCTATATTGGTGTTTTGGAAGAATTTCCCTTGACATGTCAATATCAAAATTTTCGTTTTGATATTTTTTAATTATTTTTTAAGCAAGAATACAACAAAACAAATTCGCCAGACACAAAACAATATAATATTCGCGATCATAAATCTTCCGGACTTCCCACAGCGGAACGATCAACACAAAGACGGCATGAAAATAGAATTTCTGCTAACCCTTTGTAGGTCTTTAGGGGGAATATAAGGCAATATTTCAATCGCAAATATTCCAAGAGGTTAATCAAAGGCTCATAAAGTGAGATGAATGTCCGTAGAGCGAGAGTTGGCGTTGTGCCAAAGTGCACGCGTACAGCCTTCAGCTCAAGTGATCAGCTGCGAAACACGAATACGATTATAGGAATTTCGAATCTTGTCAGCTGAAATCTCATTACTACTATGAACAAAATAGCATGGCCGATACAATTTGACAATGAAGCTGAATGACACCATAGAATGACATAAACTGTGTTGAAAAAATTAAACATTGATCGTAATTAATTTGTTGTGAAAAACTTAATAAATGTTTTCAACAGTAACTAAAACATTAAGTCCAATTGAAACCTTATATTTTTCACATGTTGTGGCACATCATGCACTATATCAAATGATGACTCAATCGGTTAGAGCAACAGCACGGAACGCTGTGGACGCCGGTTCAAGTTCTGTCTAAGTCGAAAGTATTTTCCAATTTATATTCGATTTTTAAATTTAGGTACGTTAATTAAAGCTATAAAAAGTTAAACTAACCATACGTCTAAGTAAGAAAAGTATTAGTTAAACGCATTTAAATAATATTAATCTATTAGTAAAATTATATCTTAAGTTTAGTTAACCTGCTCTTAATGAATACAAATACATAAATAAATTACGATTTAGCACAACTTAAACTTGTCTCACAGTTGACTGGAATAAGCTAAGCTAAGTTGCCTACAGATTAGTTCTGTGTGCACGCTTTTAAGCCTTAATTGTATTATTCATATTTTAGTGCAACCATTTTGAGTAGGAACTAACGAATTGATAGTATTAATATATTGATGTCCGCGGAGAAAAAAAAGGGGCGGAAAAAAAAAAAAAATATTTGCATGTCAAAATTCACTTTTGTATGCGATTTCGTAAGTATTATATTGTTAGAAAATGTTAAGATCATGATGAAACAGGACGAAATATTTTATATAGTTTTGAACAGAAAATGCATAAAAGATTAATAAATGGGACAATGAAGTATATAATATATCCTATGCCCCATGGCTGTTTTTTTGATTTTTAATTATTGTATATTTCCTAATCCTACGTTAATCGTAATATTTGTAAGATGTCTTAATGATTTTATTAATAACGATATTATTCGATAACAATCTGTGCTAAGAAGACACAGTTCCAATTCGAAAACAAACTTCCAATTACCAAACCTCGTAAATATTCGTTTGAGTTGCGATATTTGGAGAACAACAAAGATATAAATCTGAGGGATGTAGCATTAGAAAAAAATGTCAAATAAAGCTTAGACTAATATTTTATAAGGCAAACTAGATCAAACAAAAATAAGTATTCAGATATTCTTGGATAGTATCTATAATCCCGGCGACAATAGTTTCGGTATGGCAGGACACAACTTATTTGCTTGAAACAATCGAAAATCAGATTTAGAAATGTGTTTTGGTTACTTAAGAATATCATTTACATTTATAACTTCATTCGATAGTAAAAGGAATAACCCTTCCATTTGCGTATATACAAACGAAAACTAATAAGCGAAACCAAACGAGATGGGAACACCTCGACAAAAAAGGATTACTAAAACCTCAACGAGCAATTTGCAAGGAACAAAACATGAAAACGGACTAGGCAAATCGCTATATTTGAAAAAAATCGCCAGAGGTTTCATATTGCCATAACAATTTAGCTATAATGGTCTTAAACGTGTTTACAATAGAGATGAAAATCGCTTTTACGAAGCTCAGGACTGCAGCGCCAAAATGACATTCTGTTTTCTCAAGAGACTATGAAATGAAGCATTTCGACTTTGAAATCGCTTTTTAAAGTTGCTTTATAAAGTTTCGTTTACGTATTTACTAGTAATTTTATGCGAAGCTGTTTATAATAGTAGAATGTTAGTTTATTTGTATTTTAGAACCACGGTCCTGATTTCCTTTTACATACAAGGGCTTGTCTAGTGTGTTATTTTGTAAATTATTATTTTGTAGTTTTACTAATAAGTTTAATATAAAACATTGTTTGCATCCTAAAGATAAGATTACTCTAATAGCGGTTGTCGTTACACTCAATCCACACTGCGGTGTATACTTTAAAACCACGTTTCGTATCTGAGAGAAAATCTATGTCCAGTTATAGCGTAATATCAGTTTGAAACGATAAACACAGGACACAAGCGAAATCACAAAACGAAACTAACCTCGCTTCGCGCACGTGTACGGAACAAAAGGTTTCCGTATGCAAAGTTACAATCGAGGCAGAGCACAATGACAGACGTCCTTCCCTTTCACTCTTTACGTACTTGAATAGTTCTGTCTCTTGCCTTTCAGCTGATGCTATCGACTAGGATGACAGTTTCAGCGCGGGCTCAATACAATTATTGTCGTGTCAACGTCGTCTCGCGTTTCTAGTTAATGAATAGTCTATCTATTGTCCATCTAGATATCTCTTGTATATTTAAATTATGTAGATAAGGTTGTATACATTACATAGAGCATTTACTATTCTCGTATTTTTGTTAATTAGATTTCGCATTGTCATGTCGTAGCTCAAACCGTAGGCCAGTGTCGTAGAGTCTTCGTAGCGGTGCTACATTAACAGTACACGTTCTACAGGATTTTTGAGTTTCAAATAAATTTAATCTGATGTCAATTTTATTTATTTTAACGTTTTGCTAGATTAACTTTAATAAAATTGTCGTTACCCGTATAAAAGCCTGGCAAGTTTGAGACATAGGGCATGGGCGTAGGGCGTTGGAGTATGGGGCAAGCTCATCACTGTGTCCATTTCACTGATCGTATTTATTTACTGCTTTTCTTGCCTGACTGAAATAATTTATATTCTCCCCAGGATACGAATGATCAGCACCTTTAATTGTTTAACCATTGCAGAATGTACGTGAGAATACTAAGTAATATTAAATTACTACTCAAAAATACTACTACTACAATGTACTTTGTTACATAACATTGACAAAATCAATATTCCGCTTCATAAATCACGAAAATTATCACGCTGCAGTAATTTTAATCGGTACATAGGGAAGGTTCTACCATCA